TATAAAGAAAAAAACTTAAGGGATTTATTCCAATTCAGAAACTTTGTTAAACATATCCCTTCAACACTGTCAACAATTAAAATTTCTTACTAAAAATCTGCTCTTCCCACTAATAAAAAGATCCTTAGAACATTATTTTTCAGGCTACATTTAACCAGATATACCTGTTTTTGTAAAGCCTCTCTTCTATTTAAAGAGTAATTCAATTAAGAAATAAACAGTATCTTTCTGGAAAAGAAAATACATACTGGTCTAAAATAATTGTTAAAAGAAGAAATTAGACCCCTGTTCCATGCTAGTAACATGGTATGGTTCCTATTCCTTTTGAGACCATATTTCATATTATTTCACTATATTTACTTCTGTCTTGGTTATCTGCTATTACTTCCTACTCCGTAAACCCCTCAGCTTCTACCATTTTAGAAAAAAAAAAGTCAAGATTCTTTTATACTCCCTTATCAAACCATTCCTCAGGGAAGAGATTCATTTTGCTTTCTTTACCATCTGATTGGTGGGACAGCTCTGTTACTAGAGGACTCTAGAGCGCCCTCCAACTTCTTCTGGTGCTGAGAAAGACTAAATGTGTTAGTCGCTCAGTCGTGCCGGACTCTTTGCGACCCCGTGGGCTACAGCCCACCAGGCTTCTCTGTCCATGAGATTTTCCAGGCAAGGATACTTGAATGGGTTGCCATTTCCTTCTTCAGGGGATCTTCCCAACCCAGGGATCGAACCTGGGTCTCCTGCACTGCAGGAAAATTCTTTACCGACTGAATTACCAAGTACCAGGTCATAAATCTAGCATCATGTTTTATTATTTTCAAATTAGTGCTATCAAAATTCCCAAAGAACAGACTGGTCTTACATTTATTCTCATAAGGGAGAATAAATATCCCACTACCAGTACCAAAAAAAAAAGAAAAACTTTTCACTATAATTCAAGATACCCTCCATCCCTTCTAAGAAAAAGATTAATAAAATTAGTTACTTGGCAATGTTTTCTTATCCACACACATAAAAGCCCTTATAGTTTCTAAAAAAGTTAACCAATGTTCAGTCCATACAACTTAGTTCACAAAAAACTTTAAACTGTGTCACCGTGAATAAAAAAGGTCATATTCCTGGTGATACAATTCCTGGTTTTAAGGACTTCAGGCACTTTTTGATCATTGGCCTTTCTGGAAATCTATGATAATTTCCTTGACTTAGAGCCAGGTTTTATGACTAAAGCATACCAGTGAGGTACTCTAATGAATGCATCAATATCAGTTTTTACACTAAAAAACAATGTCACTCATATGATGTCAATCAAACTTTGATTACAAAATCCTTAGTAAGAGTACTTAGGCATAAGATGGTATCTAGCATGTGATTTAAACATCGACCATAAAGCCACAAGGCAAAATTATCTCCACAATTCGATACTGATAAAGAACCATAAGCTCCCAAAGAAATACAGATTCAAGTAAGGAGCTTTCACTTTTAAAGACTAAATGCAGTTAAGTTTTTTCAGAGCTCTGGGAAGTTACTTACAGGTTTTTAAAACAGAGGTAAGAGTGACAGTTTTGCCTTCCGATACACATTTACGTAATTCTCTCTTAAATGTCAAGTAAAAAAAAAAAACTTCATTAAAAAAAGTATATGTATATCCCATAAACATATCTATATATACAACTATACAAACAAAATCTGTGGTTATAGCACATACCAGGACACACCACTTAACACTCACAATTTATACTCTTTTATCAGCAGTCATTAGCAAACTCCACAAATAAAACTATTAACAAGATATAAAGATATCTGCCACTAGAGGATCCTCACAATCAGGTTTTCAGCAGTCTTTTGGTTGCAGTTGACAGTTCACAATTGCAGCCATTCATTAGTTCCTGGAATGTGGCCTAGAGAGTTCACACTGGTCAGTTATCTATGGAAAACGATCTGTGCTGTGTTCCTTTTCCAAAAGGGCCAGTAATATTTTGCACCTCCCCCCTTTTACCAAATAGGAGTCTGTTAAGCCTATAGGTAGTTTAAAAAATTTTTGTAACGTTTACTGTAGAAATGTCAATGCATTTTTTATGAATCATGTTTCCAACCACTATTATATCCTCCAGTTTACACAAAATCAACTTAAATAATCTCAACAACTGACCATTAAGCTAGAATGATATAAAATGTTATGCTAATTAACAATATAAGGTCAACAGGCAATGTTAACTGAGAACTTCAAGACTTTATTACTTGGCATACAAAACCATCAGCCCCTTTAAAGATATGATAGTACATAAGGTCTGATTCTTTAAAATAAATGGTCTCAAAATGAGCCAATACAGATCCTTGTATTAAGTAACAGAACCAATATCACAAGATAAGAGTGTTTAATACATCAACTTAAACCACCTGAATCTTTTTATCTTCCATTTTCCTTCCTTTTCTCAAAGAAACAGACTGTTTACTAACGTCTTAATCATTTTATAAAAGGCAAACATCTTTTAAAAAAATATTTTCTAAGGATCTGAAATTTGTCAACCTATTAATAATCACTCACTCCAATATTTTGTTTACATCTGAATGACTGCAAATAAAACTGCATGAAGAGTTTAATTAAAGGCAACTTAAAATCACATTAAATGTATTTAATGTGATTTTTTTAGTACTATCTCAACAGCTTTCATCTCAGTAATTTAACATACCACTGGAAAAACTGTTATTTAACTTCTAGCATACACCTTTAAAATGTGCTCTCTTTTACAAAGGCTTTCCATTAAAAAACAAATTTAAAAAGACCCCAAAACTATTTCTACTTAATGGATTTATTCCTTCACCAGGTGTGTTGGTCCAGTGACAAAACAGTCAAATGTGTAAGATTACATCTTGGAAACTGGCATGTTATATTAAAAACCAATGAAAGACTATAGCAAAAATTAGAAATGCACATTTGATAAGCAATGAAAATTTTAAAAGACTGGGTCGGGGAGGGAAGTCCACATTTAAAATAGGAGGATACACACAGGAAAACCCCAGCACTGGTTAACTGTTAAAATTGATAAGAACACTGATACAGTAGTATCAGTAATTCAGATAGTCATATACTTGGAAATAAGATTCTTGAAATTACCAACTCTTTTAATAAAGAGAAGAAATAAATGCATCTTTGAGGTCATGTCCTAAAGAATACAACCCAGAGTTCCCATTTATCAACACCTCTCTCTACTTCATACCATATCATCACATTAAAGTTCTGGTGAATGTAACTGCAAAAAAACTGAGAGGTGTGAAGGAGAGAAAAATACATTCAATTCACAGGTGTGCATGTGTTTTTTGGGGTGCTGAGGGGCTGAGAAACCAGTCATTATTTCTTGAAAAGATATGAGGTGGGGGGATGTACAACAGGAACAGAGAGGTAAGCAAATGGTTATTTACCAACCCATCAAAAAAAACTGGCTTCTGGCAGCTAGAAAAGGGAAGATGCCTGCTGACTATTACCAAAGGTGAACAAATAAACTCAAGTGGCGTTTCAGGTGTGCACCTATGTGTGAAAAGTGAAATGTGGCAGAAAATGTAGAGAACGGTTTTTCTGTGTGGCTTGTGGAATCAGTCTTTACTTGGTAGCCCCATCCACATAAAATCTTTCAGTTAATAGCTTGAGCTCACTCATGGACATGTGGTATTCTCTAAGGGTTCTCAAAAGAAAGACACTCCACAAGCAAATCTCCTATAAAAAAAGATGAACTTTGAATTACAAAAAGCAGAGAGGATGAATTTCAGTGAACATTTCAAACCCACAGAAGTATGTAACAAAAATACAAGGGTAATTCAAAATAAAAAGAATGTGAAGAACTCAGAAGAAAGAAGAAAAAGTTTTAACAGGTCTCATTGTATTCTAGATACCAATTACTTCAGAAATCTATAAAGCTACTTCTGATCCTTTACCATGTATAAAATTAAATCTTTCTCAAAACAAAAACCCCAGAAAATAAATCTCTAACTGTGAACTACCTGAAACTTTCTCTGTGATTTTTAAATGTAATTTTTGGTAATAAGTCAGTTTTTTAAAATTTGTATTATACATACTACATCAAATTTTCATGTGACATTTCCTCAAAACCACTTAAAATCCTTATTAAACCATAACCAAACATCAACTGTAGTGGACTTGGCACGGCAATGTACCAATATGCCCTTTAACTGTTTAAAAAGCATCCCCCCTAAACAGAGGGAACCAGCTGTTAACGTTCATATTTTTACTAAAAAATCACTCTAATTTTTAAGAACTACAGCTTTCCCTTCTGTCAGAGTCTCACACCTCCCATTTCTACAGTAAAAAGATTGATGGAAAATAAGAATATCTTTCCAATACACTTTCTGCCTTAAAAAAAAAAAAAAGAAAGCTTAAAAGAAGTCACTAGGAAGCCTCCTGACCTGTCCTCTTTTATTAAAGGGCTGAAGACAGGATCTTCAAAGCTGCATCTGACATTTCATCATTCTCTCTCCACCCTTTCCAGATACACTGGAGATACCTTACATGGTTCTTTCTCTATTACAGGGCCTCCTTGTTTTCCAGAATGGGAGTCTTAACTGATTTTATGTCTCAGCCTCAAAACTCACACTGACAAAACACAATGCCATTAGGTGTTCAAGTGTGATCGACCTCTAATAAAGGGACAATCCTACGGGAACAACCTACTAGCTACCTACCACTTACAAATGGAGAAGATTAAACTAATATCCACCCTTTCGAATCAACAATGTTGCATTCCTACCCACTTTGGTGCTTTTAAACAACTATGACATCAATTCTATAATTTTTACATCAGTAATCTAAAACGAATGTCTTTTCAAGAACCGATAAATCAATTTTATTAAATACAGACTATCGTTTATATTTAGAAATGTTAAGGTCCTCAAAGTGGGGAAAAAAAAACCAAAAAACTCTCCCACAGTTGCATCCTAAAACTTTGGTCAAGCATTCCCATCAAATATTTCAAATAAGATTTCCATACCTGTCTTCATCACCATCAACAGGAATAGCTATGCTGAATACAGAGGTGGCGAGACTGTTCATAGGTGTTAACTGAAGGGGGTTTGCCAGGGCATCTGCAACAGGAGGCTTCACAACAGGCTTATTTTCAGCAATGAGAGAAAGTGGTGGTTGAGGTAGGGGTTCTGATTTTCTTCTAGTATCGTCAACTTGCCCGACTAAAGGCTGGGTCTGAGTCTGAAACTGGCTCAGGTCAGACTGCGGTAGACTGGTCGGGGCACCGGCTGTGCCGGGCGCTAAGGGCAGCCCCACGTGCTGGACGCTGCTGCCGCTCCTGCTGACCGGAGGCTGGTTGCAGAGCTGCGGCGCCTGGCCCAGGGGCGCGGGGACATTTGGCATAGTAACAGAAGTGGTCGACACACCAGGCACGCTGGGAGCGGGCGCGGCTGCAGGCACGTTGGCAACTCCGGGCACCACGGCGAGAGGGCCGCCGGGCACGACCGACGGCGCGCCGCTGCCACCAATCTGCGGCGGAGGCGCGGCCTGCGGCTGCCCGACCCCAGCGGGAACCAGGCCCGACGGCGCCGTGCCTCCCACTGCAGCCGGGGGCACTCCGGCCGGCTGTGCCGGGCACGACCGACGGCGCGCCGCTGCCACCAATCTGTGGCGGAGGCGCGGCCTGCGGCTGCCCGACCCCAGCGGGAACCAGGCCCGACGGCGCCGTGCCTCCCACTGCAGCCGGGGGCACTCCGGCCGGCTGACCCGGCGCGGCCGGTCCTGCGGGCGCGGGGCCCGGCCCAGGGGCCACCGCTTCTCCGGACAAGGAGGGGGCGCCCATCATCTGCGCGCCAGCAGAGGCGGCGTTCTGGCCGGTGCCCGCGGAAGAGGGCTGCGCAGGGCTGGGCGGCTGCAGGCCGGCCACGTGCGGCTGCAGGTACTCACTCTGGCCTGCGGGCGGGACGGGCAGCAGATGGCCCGGCGGCATCGGAGGCTGAGGATACGCGAACTGCTGGGGCGGGGGCGCGGTGGCAGCGCCCATGGCCAGGCCGGGCTGCGCCAGGGTTACATTCGTCAGCGGCAGGCCCTGTCCGTTGGGTCCCGGGGGCCCGGCGCCCTGGGCCTGGCTGGGCGGCGGGGCTGCCAACCTCTGCGGCGGCCCGGCCGCGGCTCCCGGGAACAGCGGCAACGAAGCCGAGCTTGGAGCCACAGCCCCACCTACGGGCGGAGGCGGCGGCTGCGGCTGCCCAACGCCAAAACTCTGCGGCGGGGCCGGGGCGGGTTGGCTCATTTTCTCCGACGGGGGTAGCTGTGACACAGCAGTCAAGGAGCTGTCAGTTCCCGAGTCGGGCCCGTGCGCGCCCGGCATGGAGGCCACTACCACCACCACCGACCCTCCGGTGGCGCCCAGGCCGCTGTCCCGCTCCGCAGTCTGGTCAAAAGTATTGCTGTGCCTAATGCAATCCCCGGACCGGGTCAGGACGCTGCTATCGGAATCCCGCTCATAGTATTCCATGCACGTCCATCGGCCGCGTCTGTAAGGCTCCCCGCTGCCGTGGTCCAGCTTGATCACGCGAAAACGCGAACTACAAGTGGTGGGGGGTTGTGATGAGGCGGCAGTTCCTGGTGTGGCGGACGGGCCCGTGACCGGGGGAGCGCCGGGGGCCCCTGAGGAGGGGACTGAGGTGGCGGCCGGCGACACGGTGCTGGGCAGCACCCCGGCCACGCTCCGGGCCGAAACGGCTCCTCCTCCGTTGGCCGGAGCGGCTGTTGCGGCCGCCAGCTGTCCGTCCAGGAGGAGGTTGGGGGAGACGGTCCCGGGAGTCTCCGCATCCCCAACATTGTTGAGCGTCTCTTCAGAGGAGCTGCGCTCGCAGACCTCCTCGGGGCCGTAATCCGTGGCCCGAGAAACGTCGAATATCTCGGAAGAAACGTCCTCTGTGCGTGACTCATCCGGGTCGTCCAGGCTTTCGGTGTCCTCGGTGATGCTAGTGGCCACCTGGGCCGTGGTGACACTGGTGATCTGGAAGCAGCTCTTCTTCTTGGCCGGCATCTTGGACATGGTGAGGCAGGCTGGAGGGCAGAGAGGCACGCCGGCTCCTCCGCGATCTTACCGGAAACCAGGAAGGGCAGAACACTGGCCCCCAAAGACAAAGTCCGCGTCCGTGCTGGGGTCTGAGGCCCGCCGCTGTTAAGAGTCACGGGCTGATCCGGGCGCCGGCCGCTCCGTGAGACATCCTCCTCCCGTTTCCTTATCGGAGTCGGTCTCTTCGGCTCTGGCCCCGTCTCACTCGTGCGGCGGCTCCTCCTTCCTTCTCGCCTCCCGCAGTCGCGGCGCCTCAATTCAATCCCCCCAGTGGCGGCGAGAGCACGATCCCAGGGGCGGGTCAGCTGCTTCCTCCTCGCGTCTTCGGGCCGCCGTGGTCAATCCAGCTCGGCGCGGTCAGCAGGCCTAGGCTGGGGGTGGGAGTGGGAGGGCGAAGGGGAGGCGGCGGCGGCGTGAGGGGCGGTGCTGCCCCGCTCCGGCTCTTCGAACCAGTGCCGGCGTCAGCTCCGGGCTCTCGGACGCCGAGGAAAGCAGGAGTAGGAGTGGCGAGTCCGGAGCCAAGGATTCCTGATTCCGCCGGGAGCCGCGGGCGGGTGGCGGAGCTTCGGCACGGGCGGGCGGCCCTCCCTCCCCGGCTCTAGCCGGAGCTCAGCCCCAGGGACATGTCGACTGTCTCAGGCGGAAACCTGCTCCGGGGGAGGGGAAAGCCGGCTCGGTCCTCCCCTATACAGGGGGAGCCACCCCCGCGGGCGGGCGGTGGCGGCGGTCTCGGCCTTCCCCTCGCGGCTCCTGAGAGTGAGGGGCGGCGGCCGGCAGGCCGGCTAGCGACGGCGCGCCGGCTGTGTGAGGTAGCTGCGGTGGCTTCTTCGATTCTTCCTCGGTGCGCCCGGTTCGCAGGCCCCGGAGAAACTGAAATTCAAACTGCTGAAGCGGCGGCTGCAGCTCCCTCCCCTCGGCCAAGATGGGGCTGAAATGGCCGCGCCAGGGATGCTGGGAGGAGCAGCAGCCCCGCTGCCGCCGCCGCTGCCGACTAAAATGCCGCCGCTGCCGCAGCCACCGCCAGCGCCGCAGCCGCCGCCGTTCCGTGACGCACCGGCGTCGTGACGTCACCGCCCCGCCCCTCCGGTTTCCTGCGGAGTTTCGCGTGGAGGCTGGGGGGGTAGTGGGCGGGGCTAAAGGTTAAAACCGGGGAGCGGTTTTTTTTTTCAATTTAAAATTTTTTTAAATTTAAATTTTGCCCTGTAGATCTTTAAGAGTTGAAGAACTAAAGACTCTTAAATTCCAACTCTAGGAAAACTTACAGCCGCGCCCATTGAAGGTTTTTTTTATCGGTTTATTCCGAGACATTGGAAGACTGGAGGTCATGTGCTTGCTATGTCTAATGTTTAGCAAAATCAGTGAAAGAAGGCGATAGGAATGGAGGTTGGGGGATTTAGCTAGGATAAAGAGGGAGACGGCTGGAGGAACCGAATCACTTATAAAAAGCCTTTCCTGAAAATGAATGATATCCACTATAGTCAGAGGAGTGAAATGTTGAGAGAAATGGGGACGATTAACCAAGAATAGCAAGCCAGATTGAGTCAGCCAGAAATTTTGTCTCCAACAATGGCATCAGGAGATGGTTACTTGCCCAGGATGAGGTCAGTTTAAAAAAAGATTAGAGGTTACCAACATATTCCTAATTTTCCTGAGTTTGTTTTGATTCCAGAATCGAAGAGTTCGTTTAAACATCTTGAGACTGTTTTTACTTTCAGCATGAAATCAGCTTATGGGCTCCATAAATGTAGAACCTACTGCGTTAAATAGTTGTAGTTCTTTCTTTTGTTTATTCTGAAACTCTTAGTTAGAGCCAGAGTGTTAGGTGGTTTGGATTGGGCCATGAACAATCAAGAGCAAGTTAGCACTCTTTCCTGTCCAGAAAGCAGCTCTGCGAGTACTGGAGAACTTACCATCATTTAGCTACTCTCTGGCAAAAGAAAATGGTAACGTCATTCTTTTAAATAATTAAAAAAAAAAAAAAGGAAGGTGGCTCTTTGACAGATCGTTTAGGTAGAATCTAAAGTGTCTTGGTGGAATTCAAAGTTTAATATCACAGCTTTAGCAATCATATCATGACTGACATAAATCAAGGTAATCATTGTATTCAGTTCTCTAATCTTTGAAGAATAGAAATATTTTTATCCCAAAGGATCTTTTGATAATTTAAAATTTCAGAGAACTTTTTAGGTCATTAGTTGAAAATAATATACAAGGATATGTCTACATCATTAAACTTTAGGAGAAATTATGTATTCCGAATACAAGTGACTGAGGTCAGGATGTGAAATAAGACCACATAATAAAATCCCTGCTTCTTAAAGGGGTGGGAGAGAGTAAAGGAACCAAGGGTAACATGCTGCTGCTATTGTGGTGAAAATAGCTAATGGAATGTTTCATTACTAAATCTGTAATTTCATTAGTTGTTAGAGACAGTTTCCCATCAATAAGTTAGATCAACTGGTTACATCAAATGTGAGTTTATAAAAACTTATCTTCATTTTGGATTGATTTACTAGATTGTTAAAAGTGATGATCAATGGGTGATATTGTGTGTGCAGCTTTTGGAAAAGTAAATATTGTATGCCTGCTTGTCCTATTACATTATATTATCATATCAACTTCATATATATATGTGTGTGTGTGTATCAGTTCAGTTCAATCACTCAGTCGTATCCAACTCTTTGCAACCCCATGGACTGCAGCATGCCAGGCCTCCCTGTTCATCACCAACTTCTGGAGCTTACTCAGACTCATGGCCATAGAGTTGGTGATGCCGTCCCAGCATCTCATCCTCTGTCATCCCCTTCTCCTCTTGCCTTCAATCTTTCCCAGCATCAGGGTCTTTTCAAGTGAGTCAGTTCTTTGCATCAGGTGGCCAAAGTATTGGAGTTTCAGTTTCAGCATCAGTCCTTCCAATGAACACTCTGTACTGATCTCCTTTAGGATGGACTGGTTGGATCTCCTTACAGTCCAAGGGACTCTCAAGAGTCTTCACCAACACCACAGTTCAAAAGCATCAATTCTTTGGTGCTGAGTCTTATGGTCCAACTCTCACGTCCATACAAGACCACTGGAAAAACCACAGCCTTGACCAGACAGACCTTTGTTGGCAAAGTAGTGTCTCTGCTTTGTAATATGCTGTCTAGGTTGGTCACAGCTTTTCTTNTCAAGAGGCAGGTCAAGTGGTCTGGTATTCCCATCTCTTTCAGAATTTTCCACAGTTTATTGTGATCCACTATTTATTTGGCTGTGTCAGGCCTTAGCTGTGGCGCTTGGACTTGGTTGCCCCATGGTGTGTAGACTCTTAGTTCCTGGACCAGGGATTAAACCCATGTCCCCTGCATTGGAAGGTGGATTCTTAACCACTGGACCATCAGGGGAATCCCACATCAATTTCTTGATTACTTGTTATGATACTCTTACATTTAAAGGAAACATTTAAGATGTTAAGTAATCCATAAGACTATTTCTCCTTAAAAGATAACTTTATGAAATGAAAGTGATGACAAAGGTAACTTAGAAGACATCAGTAATGGGCTATATTTCTAGTAATGATAGAGTTAAAGATGTTAAAGACATCTTAGCAAAAAATAAGATTTATAAAGTTAAAATTTTTATTTATCTGTTGAAGGACTTGTGTGTGCTTAAACTAATAATATAGTTCTCTTGAAAGTAAGTTTTCCAAAAGCTTTTAAGGCCCTAGCTTCTTTTATACGTTTTCTATTTTAAAATGTAAGGAATTCATTGCATAACATTTCTATTAAGAAATGATAAGAATTCTGCTTTATGTAAATAAGTTTGAAACTTTATATAGAACAAAAAAATCATATAACTATGATGAAACTACAAAAACCTATGTAATTTCTGGTTGGCCCACAAAAAAATTAAAAGCCAACATGTAACTAAAAGCAGGATACACATGCAAGTATGTATGTGTATGTTGGGGCAGGGGGCAGGGGCTGGCTTCCCGAGTGCCTCAGTGGTAAAGAATCTTCCTGCCAATGCAGGACACATGGGTTCAATCTCTAGCTTGGGAAGTTCCCCCGGAGAAAAAAATGGCAACCCAATCTGGTATTCTTGCTTGGGAAATCCCATGGACAGAGGATCTGGTGGGCTACAGTCCATGGGGTTGCAAAAGAGTCAGACACGACTTAGTGACTAAACAACAACAAATGTGTGTGTGTGTGTGTGTGTGTAAAGTTCATAATGAGTAACTTGGTAATATAACTCACTGGAACTGGGAAGCTCCCTGGAGTACCAGAACTCAAGACTAGCTGTATTAAGGCAACTATCCTTGTTTCTTGCCTGACCCAGAAACTGCAGGTGGAAACTGTGGGAATCCTTGGTTACTGCTCTAGCACATCCAACTTGACTGTTCTGTGTTTGATTCTTCCCTCAAAGACTTAATTTGAAGCAATGTATGAGAAGCGCATTTAGGAAGAACAATGCAGGGGGAAAAATGACTTAGAAACTAAGGAGTATTTCCACTGATTGGGAAAAAGCAAAACAAAACACAAAACAATTATGGCAGAAAGATTTTTTTCATCATGTGAGAGCATCATACCCCCAAATTTTACTAGGTTATCATCTACCCTTATCAATTTGCTGTTCAGTTGCTAAGTCATGTCTGACTCCTTGGGATACCATGGACTGCAGCACGCCAAGCTTCCCTGTCCTTCACTACTTCCCTGAGTTTGCTCAAACTCATGTCCATTGAATCAGTGATGCCATCCTACCATCTCATCCTCTGTCATCCCCTTCTCCTGCCTTCCATCTTTCCTAGCATCAGGATTTTTTCCAATGAGTTGGCTCTTCACATCAGGTGGCCAAAGTATTGGCGTTTCAGCTTCAGCATGAATGCTTCCAATGACTATTCAGGGTTGATTTCCTTTAGGATTGACTTATTTGATCTCCTTGCAGTTCAAGGGACTGCACCACAATTTGAAAGCATTGATTCCCAGATGGAAAACTATTTTATAGTCACAAGATCCTGGGATGTAAACCAGAGATTCTCAAGAAAACCTGACTTTTTTTTTTTCAATGAATGAATGTTATATTTAAAATAGTAATAGTACATAATGTAAACACTCTGGGATAGAGAAAAGAAAGCTATACTTTCATTAAAATGAAGCAACTGCCTAGGTAAAGAGAAGTAACTCTTTAGAATTAATACTACCAGTCAGACAGTGGCATTTATTGAGCATTATCTTATGTGAATTCAGAATTGGATGATGTGTATTCCAGCAAAAAATTTTTCTGGAATTTAGAAATAACATGTATTTATTTTCTATACTAAAAAAGTTTTTTGTTTTTTGTTTTTTCTTGACTGCACCATGCAGCATGTGATACCTTAGTTCCCTGACTAAGGATCAAACCTGCGCCTCCTACAGTGGAAGCACAAAGTCTTAACTACTGCACTGCCAGGGACGTCCCTATTTTCTATAATTTTATTACTAAATTGTTAGAAAAACACAAAGTGGAGGACTAATTTTCAGGTTCCAGGAGCATTTGTTGGAAATAAATATTGGTTGTCTAAATAATAAGTACTTCATTTATTACTATGATTTACCTTGGGTCTCGTTTCTGGAATAATATCTTATTAATAACCCCTTACAGTGAGGCCATTTTATACTATTTTCCAAAAAGGAAAAAAAAAAAATGTAACAGAAGAGGACTAAGGCTAGTGAAATTCCATGAATACTTTTATAAAGAAAAATATAATCTGATAATCTGAGATGTACAAACTTTGAGAACAAAGTATGTAAAATTTTCACATTTAAGAAAATTTCTTAGATACTCTTCTAAAGTTTGATATACTAGCAAACAATGATGTCCTTTTTTTAATAGTGAAGATTTCCTTGAGTCCCAAAGATCTTTGAAGTTCAGGCAAAATATAGCAATTTGGTGAAAGAAAAGGGTGCATCTTGAACTAAATAATAAATATCCTATTAAAGCCTATTTTCTTTTATTATGAAACTTAATTTAGAATCCAAAACATTAATTGTGTGGTTTTGAAGTCTAGCTTAAATAAGAAAATCTATTAATATGACTATATCCCCTGCCACCATTTTTTTTTAAACGTTATGTTACCACTTGGAATAAAATTAATCTACGTTGTCTAATTGGAGAGAATTTGAGATCAAGAGTAATCTCCAGTTTTGCTATCAATTTGTTCTCTGATTGCTGAGAAGTC